CCGGGGTACTCCGGTTTCCTCCTGCCTCTAAAACTGGACCTTCTTCATAACTCTGTAATGTGATGCTCAAACTTGCCGCAAGGTGTGCCTAGCAATGCAAACACAGGCTCGTGCCGGTACAGATAAACTGTTTTTAACGTTTGTTCACCTGTTCAGAGAGGACATCTTGAGCCTCTGCAGCTGAGTCTGACCGAGGAGGAGGAGAGTCAGATGAAGAGGATGCTGTCTCGCATCAACACACTGGCCAAGGTAGGATTGGAATCTCAAAATAACTTCAGACATTGCACGTAAAGAATAGCACCCGGGGCTAAATTTCACAGAGCTATTAAGCGGGGAAAAAAAACTCACTCAGCTGATTTCAGCTGAATTCGCTTATTTTGGGTACAACAAAAATTGTGTACTTATTTTCTGTTGTTTGGAATCAGTGAGGAACCAATTCCAACGTTGTTCTTGTTTGGTCAGAAAAACCAAAGTCTTGAAAACACCCAACCAGTGACCAAAGCAGAAACATGTTTGTGGTCACGGCTTTGAAAAGATGCTCTAGGTACATGTAGGCACAACTGTAGACTTCATGGGACCAAGTGTGCTCTTTTCTCTTTTCCTTTCCAAACAAAATTCAACAGAGAGCCCGGGACAAAGGCGTCAGGTTGATGATTGACGCCGAGCAAACCTACTTCCAGCCAGCAATCAACAGGCTAGCCATGGAACTCATGCGCAAGTTCAACAAGGAACAGCCCACCATATTCAACACTTATCAGTGCTACTTGAAGGTACACGTGTAGGCTTGACCTTGGATTGACAAGAGTAAAGGAGACAATCTGGGGCAAAATTTAATAGAGCTGCTTAAGCACTGAGTTTGCTTAAGCACGAAAAAACCTTTCTTAATAAACAAAGGTGACCAGCTCAAACTCTATGTGATTGTCATGCTAACCAAAAGACAGGTAAAAAACCATTCCAAAGCAATATACATCACAAGAAGTTTTGGCTGGTAACCTGATTTATCCAGCAAGGGTTTTTCAAGCTTAAACAAATTTTTCGCTTAAGCAGCACAATGAAATTAGCCTCAGTATCTTATGTACAGATGGTTATGAGCGATCCCAGCAATGATGGCAAGTGCAGGCAGACATGTTGAAAATGCTGCCATTTTCCACACTATATGCGTTCCTCTCATACCTTGTACAATCTTGACTGTTGTTAGTTTTAAATCAAGACTACTCATTTTGTTTGCATGTCAGCCATTGGTCAAGTGTGCTTGGTCCCCCGGATGCATGTTGTGTTCAGATTATGAGCGAAAATCAATGAGTTGTCTACAGATGGTCATTGTTTGAATTTGCCTGTCACTCTTCTGCTCATGTCTGCCATCTCATAAGTCCCTTCAGGTCCGTCACAAGTCATCCAGTGTTAAATCAAGTCATGGGCTACTCCTGTGCACTGTGACCTCAGCATTGCTGTCATTTGCTCCTTGTACGCTGCCTATGTGGGAGGCAGAGCCTCAACCTGGCAGCTTGTAGAATTGCATCAAAATCACGTCAACCCAGCTTTTGAAATATTTTCCAATCGCATGGTATAAGAGCTGACGCAGCAGGTGCAAAATTACCAAGCAACATACACGGGAATTACTGAACCAGCTATAGCTATTGTGTAAAGCTGCCAGATCGAGGCTGTGCTTGCGTATGGTGGCTGCTTGCAAAGGGTGAATTCTGTAATCTGTTACTTATGAGAAGGACTTAGGATGAGTTGGACTACGTTAACACCAGTGTCAAATACAGGGTTGAGGTGTACCCTTATTGCTCAGTATGCTTTTACTGTATGATATCCGGAAACGAAATCAAGGATTCTTGAAAAGTGCCTATGGCACTGTACCCTGCAAGCCTGACGAAATCTGGAGAAGGAAGACAGCGAAGAGGTGTTCAGTTGTTGAGGGGGGAGAAAAACCCAATTAATCAGGCAGGGACAGAAAACTCCATTGACCTGTCAGCCTGGTTGGGATGCCAACCCTGAATCAAAGAAGCAGAAGACAAAGGAAGCACCATTGGTTCAGCCTGACTGTTGAGTTACCACCCTTTGAATGAATGTTCACAGCAAACAAGCATGGGGGGAGAACCTCTCTCAAATCTCTCAATTAGAGACTTTAGGTAACATTCTGTTTCTCTCCAACAGCAAGCATTCAACAACCTGAGCATTGACATGGAACTGGCCCACCGAGAGGGCTTCCACTTCGGTGCAAAGCTCGTCCGTGGCGCTTACATGGACCAGGAGCGCAAGCGAGCCAAGGAGATCGGCTACGAGGACCCCATCAATCCAAACTATGAGGCCACGAGTGCCATGTATCACCGATGCCTGGACATGGTCTTGGAGACAATCCGGAACCGGGGGAGCGTGAAGATCATGGTGGCGTCACACAATGAAAAAACGGTCTGCTTTGCCGTGGAAAGGTTAGTTTTTTTTAGCACTGATGCATTTTGAAGATGCTGCACACATGGTTAAGCCTGTTTGAAAATGTCATGATGACATCATCAAAATCTGATAGTTGGATTCCCATATACTGAAGGAACATCTGGTTGTCTTCAAACTCTGTGGAAAGGTGAAAGACGACTTCTTTGTTGAAAACCCAAAGTGAAGTCGCGGTAACGTCATTGTTTGATGTTTTAAAATAATTCAACTATTTGCATGTAAATTTATATAATTTTCTTCTACTTGTCATTTTTTTGGCACTGTTCCAAATCAAATCACTTCAGAATGTCACAGATGTGGTATCTCTATGGAGTGTAAGTATCTTGTACTAGTACAGTGATATCATGTTACACATTGGTAATTATGAAATCATGCCTCCATGTAACAGATACTGTCTGACCACAAAAAACTTGAAATCAAATCCACTGTCAAAACCTCCGGGAGATTTCTGTTGATAAAAATGATACCACCGTTTCCTAATCTCCTTGGCCTTGCCAGCTTAGTCTGTTTTTGTTTCCCGGCCAGTTCTTCCTGTTAATCAATTCAATTCTTTTCATTGCCAGTACTCATCTTTAAAGAAAAAACAGGAAGCTGGACTTCCTCTGTTACTCCTATCAGGGGATCCATGTTGCTACATGAGCAGGAAATAATGTGAAGGGGGAAATACAGTAATGTATGTGCCACCGCCCTGCGGAGACACATTCAAACATTAGGGGAACCCTAACAAATGTTGACTTCCCGACGGGATCCAAAATTGAAATTCCTCTGCCACGATCATTTGACGGCTAGTGGGATCAAGCCCAATCCTTGGTGGCTTCGTTTTGATTATTTTTTACTTTTTTCACATCGGAAATTCTCTTCTTTGCTCCCCCCAGAATGGAAGAACTGAAGATCAAGCCCAAAGATCGTGTGGTCTACTTTGGCCAGTTGTTGGGCATGTGTGACCAAGTCTCATTCCCCCTAGGTAGGTTTCCTTCCACCCCAGAGTTGGACCTTGTTCTTGTCCGTATACTCTTATCCACTTTTACTTTCCTCAAATCATTCAGAACCCTGTGTTATGTTTTGGAACAAAAAATAAAAACCCAAACTTTGGTGCCATTTTTTACTGACAGCCCCCCTAGGTATTTCAATAGGGCAAGGTCTTTCGAGAACAAAGCAAGTCTACGAGTCAGTGTATGACCAAGCTGATAGGGTTAGACTTAGCGTGTCTCCCGTTGCTGTTCTTAATCGAGCCTGGGATGCGCTTCATTATTGATATGCACAGTTGGAATACTCAACTGGCTCATCAGTGCAATAGAATAAAAAATAACGTATGTTTTTCGGAATTACAGGCAACATTGTTAGGCCATCAAGCATAGTTAGATGTTCAGCTTGATTTAGACTGACTCACAACCCACCAGTAGTCTTTCACAAGTTATCTAGTCTCATGCAACCTCTACTCCGGGGGCTGCGTGTGTGTTCCACCATTAGCCCCTGGTTGTGTAGCATATGAAAATGACCCTGACTAGCTATTCAGGATGAATACACATAGGCGTAAAGTGAAACGCCTGCATATATCTCAAGCCGCACACTCTTATGCTGGTATTCGCCTGCACGTCATGCACACATAAATCTGCAACACACGTAGACACATTATTATTATTATTATTTATTCATGCCAGAAATAAAAACATACCCCAGCGAGACGGGCATAGGGGAGACAAAAGCAAGGAGACTCACTATGGCCACAGGGACCTACCACCCCGCGTCTCACTGGAAATTAAAAATAAATAAGATATTCTTTAAAAATATTAAGCTTATTTGAAATAAAATGAAAGATGAAAAATATAAAGAAATATATAAAAAATATAAAGAAATAAAAATATTCAACAGAAAAAAAAAACAAAAAACAAAAAAACAACACTACAGTCCTAATTTAAATCTCCCAAATAGCAGGATATTTAAATAATACAGTATCAGAGGTTAAAATCATGCAAGGTATGTTGGGAACCAACATGGCACTGCAAGATCATACCTATGGGAACGAAGTTGAGTCTCGAGCCAAGTTGCAAGATACGCAAATGAGCTGCAGCAACATCATTCCGTTCTGTTCATTCCCTGTTCGTGAACTTACAAACGTGACTGCAGATCTGTCATAAATTGATCACAGTGTCAAGTTGGTTGGGTTTTAACCTGTATTTTCCTTGCACTGAATCACTGAGGAAATTTGCCTCAGAAGTGTTGATCTTCATATTGTCTCGCCAGCTGCATGGTGAGCCGTTTAAGTACACTGTAGGAAAAGATGCTAAGTGAACATCACTTCAGAAGTTGTGCATGACAGCCATTTTGCTGGTAAGAGGTTTTGTTCCTCATGGAAAAACACATGAATATTTTTGAGCACACCTTATGTGCTGTCCCTCCATAACATAAGCAGTTGCCAGAAAGATGGCTTCCATGCACAACCTCTATCTGGTTCGTAAGTGTGACATCACTTCGATTTAAACCACTGCCACTGCACACGTGCACTGCACATAGGGTTACATGCATTGATCACCGTTTACATGGAACCATGGAACTGGAAGTTAACACGAATATTCAGCGATTGTCCAATGAGAGCCTACAAATCGTGGCGCGTCCGCCTTTGTGACGAAGTCACTTACAAACGGGATTTTCATTAAATCAGCTGCACCCTCTCTTCCTCAACATCATCACTCACAGGTCAAGCGGGGTATGCCGTTTATAAGTACGTCCCCTACGGCCCTGTTGAAGACGTCCTGCCATACCTCTCCCGCCGAGCCCTGGAGAACCGGGGCATGCTTAAGGGTGTCAAGAAGGAGCGTCAACTCCTATGGCAGGAGCTCAGGCGAAGGATTCGACAGGGACAGGTGCTGTATTCTCCCACACAAGCTTGATCTCATCCACAACAGAAAATAATAACAGCCAGTGGTGCATCCCTTGCCCCCCCACCCTCTTGGCATGTTGCCAAGTATTTTTCCCTTTAGGAATAAAAAGGGGCCAGCATTATTTTTTTACAAACAGTACTACTGCTGTTCTTGGGATGGAGTATTGAGGAATCATTTAAGTGCCAAAAAAGAAAGTTTCCGAAACCTGTTATGAAACCCTTAAGACACTGAACAATATATTCTGAAATGAAATAAAACTCCTCCCATTTTTAGCACTGATGAAGCAATAATGTGCTGGACAATCAGAGGTGATGAACTGTCTGCAGATTTCAGCCAGACAAACTGACTGTTAAGATTTGTAAACAGAAGTGGTGCCAGTTTTGAAGCACTAATACATGTTGTTTCACAACATGACAGATTGCTTGTGGTTTCTGCAATCTCGCAGTCAACGAAAGCAGCATTTGTGTCTTTTGTAGTTGTGTCTTTTGTAGTTGTGAAGTGTGAAGCATATCTTCAACCATACTAATGTATGGTTGAAGATATTGTTTGGGCAAATACAGGATAAATTTAGTTTCGGTGATCTCAGAGTATCTTGAAAACCTGTGTAAGTGTTCTCTGACTGCTTCTGAAGAAATTTATGTATACTTATTTTGCTAACTCTGCATACATTCACTTATGTTCTCATTTTTTACTATTTATTTCTTACGTGTTTTTCCCCAAAAAGAAATTGTATTTCTATATAGTTGCAATATTGTTTTTCTAGCTTTATGCATGCGGTGTCTTTCCATTCTGTTTATTTATCAAGAAAAATCTGATGTTAATAATGTGTAGTTGCTCTCAAATGTACTAATGCAACTAAGTATTAATCCTTTTCTGTCTACAGCCCCATTCTCCAGGTGGACCTTATTTAGAGAAATAGGACGCTGTCTTGTGAAAACAGTTGCTCTGCATTGAACTGGATGATCTTTTCTTTTTTTTTTTGAAAATCATAGTACATGTATAAGGAAGCCATTCAGCACAGTGGAGGATTTGAAAGTTTTCTCTACCAAAGGTTCCGAATGCCTTTATAAAGACAGGTGATGTTTGAAGAGGGTAGTACTCGGGCAGGTTAATGGTATGATCGAGCCTTAAGCATGTATTTCCCTTTGTAAAAATTACCATGAAGGAAAGGGCTTTCCAGCATCTGCTGCTGTGTCTGGCACATGTTTCCTTCCACAACTTAGTTTTGCTTATTGTTCAGGTCCAACACTACAATGCTATTGAGCTTTTGTGGTGGAAACGAGACGTTTGATGGATTATTTTGTGAGTCAGCGGTTATCAAATATGCAGTAGCCTTTTTCAAGCAGTGAAAATTCGTTTAATTCCTGTCTTCGTGCTAAACAAATCATGATATTCTTGCAATCGTGGTTTTCACAAGAACGTGAAACACATAAATATGAAGCCAGCATTGAACTAAAGGCCATCCTGATGGTCATTAGCTTGTAAAAGTTTTTTAAAGCCACATTCAATGAACTTACAAATCAGGTTCGCTGTGATTTTATTCTGTCACAGCAATACATTGCTTAACCGAAAGTCCAGTTGATATTTTAACCAACCGACCTGAGCTTTCAGGTCAATTGGTCACTTATTTAGGTTTGTGTGGCATCTAATTTGCATACCGGTTTGATTTTTATTTTTAGTGAATGACATTCCTGGAGCTATTAGTTTGGCTGGATCTGTGAGCTAGGCCATGCCTTTTGATTATGTAATGGCATTGAGCCCAAGAGGGTGTGTCCCCTTATAATGACTGACTCTTGGTTGTGGGGCTCATTCCTGCACCAACCACCTTGGCATGAAGACTTTTTTTTAGTGATTTCGTTTTTGTTCCTGAATTTTCTGTTTCGTTCGGGGGTTATAGTTACGCCCCATGGGCCGTCTTGTCGTCGGTTGCAACTCGTCTTTGGATTTTCTGGCTTTTCTTTATGATGCTTTGCCAACCTCCGACTAGTTCCTTGCTCGAAACTTTATCCTGGATCGACATTGAGTTGTCACATCGAACACCTTTTTATTAAGGTGTTCTTCATGCCTCATATTTTTGGTAGCCTTGTATTTCTGACCAACAATTCATAAATTGACTTTAAATTAGGTTCGTTCTATAGGAAGCTTTGCTCGAAACTAGAGCAAGTTCCAAAACACCTGCCGTGTTAGGATACAGTTGTGACTCTTGCAATTTTCTTTATACTTTTCTGTATATGAGAATGAGGTTTGAGACACATAAACCGAATTTTGATGTGATTTAGAATTCTTATTTATGAAACTTCAGATTTAAACAATCCCTTGCGAGTTAGTCTTTGTGAATTATAATTTCGAATGTTACACAACCGTGTCTAACAGTAATTCCGCGGGATACTCCTACTCCTTCCCGCTTGTGCTCCGTCATTACACATGGGGTAGTCGGTGAAGGTTTTTCTGTGTTTGAGGACCTTGCTAGCGACATTTTTTTTGTCGTCTGGGTTTACACAATTCGAATAGTGTAGAATTTAGTAGGGTTTAATTGTGTCGATAAAAATCAGTTTGTGATATGTCAAGGAACGATACTCGCTTCTAATGACGCTGTTGCATAAAATGGCTCAATATCTCTTTTAAAAAAGCGTTTGCACTTTTCGCTTTATCGAGTGTGTCATTACAAACGTCCATTACAAATATATATGTGGGGTATATCTTCAGGAAAACCCCTACAAGAAATATTTTCAACAGTTTATGTTGTACTGTATGGCATGTTGGCTACACGCGGTGCGGTGTCTCCATGTGAGACTACAGCATGCACAAGTATCGAACACTGGCTACAGCTCTCCACCGCTGCCTCATTTGATTAAAATTCAAAGCCCTTACAGTTTATGTTGTACTGTATGGCATGTTGGCTACACGCGGTGCGGTGTCTCCATGTGAGACTACAGCATGCACAAGTATCGAACACTGGCTACAGCTCTCCACCGCTGCCTCATTTGATTAAAATTCAAAGCCCTATCGCAGGAGACAGGACCGGCGCAAAACAGCCAGCCAGCTTTGCCCTACTCCATGATTCAAATCCAAGGTCGTGATTTCCCGATAGGACAGAGTAAATAAATATAAGCAGGCTCCATTGAATTAGTGATGGTGATAAGAGTGGCGTACAGTGTATAGGCGTGGGAACACTGGGGCATATGGATCACTTTAACATGGAGGTTGTTTTGAAAGTCTTTTTAAGGAATGATTTATGATAAGAAATGTTTGTGTGTGTGTACACAGAGTTGAATATTACAGACACTTTTCTTCTGTATTGAATGTGCTTGCAATATATTTTTATACTCTAAAGAATAATTATTTCTATTATTTTAAAACAAATTTTGAGGTTGAAAACATTTTGTTTTACTGCAATATATTAAAAGGGCAGTGGATATATATCTGTCACCGTCAAAAGTTCCCAAACGATATCCTGCTCCTGGACTTTTTTATTGGGCTATATTTATGACGTCATTGTTTCCGGCAGTACCTGTTGATAGCTATTCGACCGGTCTGCCGAAATTTTGTGAAAAACCTTCAAATGTTCTGACATGGCGCACTTCAAAAACATATTTCAGTAAATCTCACGTTGACATGTAAGAAGTCCTCCAAAGTCCATGACGTTTAGAAAAATCATTTTCACCCACATACCCAACTTTAAGTATGAGGAAATTATTCCATTGTTTTGTGGCCCATATTAATAGAGTTCATTTGGTTGAGAAAAAAAAACCAGGAAATGGGGCCGTAATAAAATTTCATCGGAATTTTGACAGAAACAGAAACTTGAGATTTATGCACGGGAATATCGGAGTTAGATCAAATTTCACTCATTGTGAAAGTAATTGAGGTAACAATATTGCTCTCACAGGAAAAAAAAATAAATAAAGGTGGGCCACGTTAGGAGCTGCACCATTTTACGACTCCCAGCAGAATGTCGTTTCAGAACTTCGGTCGGCGACGGCAAAATACCCACTTCCTGGTGGAAACTTTGAGGTGTATTTCTGATGTCAGGAATGAAAATGTTCTGGATGTGCCTTCTGTGAACGTGCTTATAGTAACATTTCCGAGTCTTATGTGGAGTCCTTGAACAAATTACGCATGATTGGTTGATGTTGTGATGTATATACAAGCTATCATAATAAAAAGAGCAGTTGGATAAAAGTACAACCAGCCATAACAGAAAAATATGGCTGGTGCTCACAACGTTGTAAAAGCCAGAATATGTATGAATAATAAATGAGCTAGAGCAAGATACACATTAGACGCATGTTTCAACTTCAGCATGGAGGGTGGAGATTTTGACAACAAAAGCCTTTTCATTAATATAAGCCCAGAAAGGTTCAATGTAAGGTTTTTTTTCTAAAGTTTGTATTCCTTCAAAGTTCCTTTGGAAAAAATCAAGTTTCTCAGATTTAGTCCTTCCCTCTGCCTGTTTCATGCTTTCACTGATTAAGCAGCCCATTTAATTCATCTGAGGTGTGAATAAACATTCACATTTTCTGAATTTAAAATAAATCGTAGAAATTCATCTTGTGTCCTAACATTACTTGTTCTAGAGCCTACTACCGCCAGAGCAATCCTTTTCATGTTACGGGTTATTTCTTGTTCTCTTTCAGAATAGCAATGACATACAGACGACATTTTATTGTCCCCGTTAAAGTACGTGCCCTACCAGTCAGAATTTGTTTTCGCAGCTGAGGTCTCTTGTGGTCGCGCCTTCGGCGCTATACGATCTTTGGTTGTGGTCTCAAATTTGGTGTGCATGTACACGTACATCTGCCTGCACATATGACGGTAGTGAACATATATCCAAACTGCTGGCGGTAGATTTAAAGAGCACCTCTTAGTAGAACATGTTTTCTCTAATTTTATCTGGTTAAATAAGTAGCCAAATCAAACGCAGTGTCATTTTGTCTTCCAAGTCACCTATAACAAGCAAAAAAGGGGTGTTTTTTTCATGCCAAGATCCGAACTCTGAATGTAGATTGCGTCATTTGGAGAAAACAGAAAACGAGGTGAACCCGCGGCCCCGCCCATTGCTCGTTCGTAGAGGATAAACCAACGTGCTTGCCAAATAATGGCTACGTGCATTCGTCCCGAAACTACTGCATTCGATGAAGCGCTTACTGTTTTATTATTAGTTCTGCATCTTATCATCATTCATTTAAGCTAATGTCAAGGATTGGGTTATGCTGTCCTCTTTAAATCTGGATTTTCCAATGTCAAAAGTCTTCTTCTGATTTGTGTCAATATCGGATTTCCTTTTCGACACAAAAATTGAACTTGATCAAACCATGAATTAAACCCAACTACAGTGCATGTAAACTATTCAGAAACTGGTGGGGAAATTTGAGTTGATTTGAACGGAGATGGAAATTGACCTTGGACTTGTTTTTAGATAAAAAATGAAACAAAAAATACAACTTTATTTATCAAATTAAAAACGGCTAGTCCACTTCAAGGGACAGCACACATTTTGCAACTATCCAAAATGTAACCAAAGAAGTTATTGTTCAGACTTAATTACATTCCATTCTCGGGATATGGAAGCATTCACAGAATTCACGGTGCACACACGTGCTGTGCATGTACTACATGGTGCATGTGCAGTTGACAGCCTCATGAATAATTCATGTACTTTGACTCGCCCACGTAAGGAAAAAAATCGCGGCAGGCGTGGAGATAATATTGCCCCAAGACTAGTTTCACTGTTTTGGCCCGTGCACCGTGCGAAACCTCACACTCTAAATTCATGAATAATTGCTCATGCGCACTACGAAAAACCGAAGTCTGCATGGCGTGCGGTATTAGGCTGTGCCGCCCTCCATCGCCAGCGCATGTCATCTGCACGGTGAACCGTAGACTTTACTCAAGTCGGAATATCTTTAACGTCTTTGTTTCTGTTTTGGATATCGAGGCCGCACATTGTTAGTTTCTTCGCGGCCTCTTGTGTCCACTTACTACTATGAGTTCAACTGTTGTTCAGAAAATCCAACTTAAAGAATCTTCCAACCGTTTGTGCACAACGAATGGCTTCATCTACTAAAAGTGGTTGCAGCCAACCACAGTGCCGAACTTGTTTTTACGTCGTTTTATGCCTGCATTATAACGAACGAGTCTACAAGTCTGATTATTTTGATTGGGGAAATTTTGTATACAGTATGCAAGATCATGTCGTTCATATGCAATAATGAGTAACTGCATATCACCGACGGGGGGTCCGATTGGCCTATCAAGTTGGACTTCTGACTGGTCTGGTTCCCTGCCCAAAGATTCCCTGACGACTCTTGATAAAAATCTTAGGTCAGGCATCACCCACGGATACGACGCAAGGGTCAGGGACCAGAAGTTCTTCCTGACGTCAATACAAGCAAGCCAACCTACGCATTTGTATTCGGCTCGGTAAAATGGCCGCTGGCTGGCTTCTTTTTCATACAAAGGCGTTGCAAGTCCAGGTTTTTTTATATACGTCCGTGGCTGAGACCGCCACACCGGACCCTTGAGGGTGCACCACTACAAATAAATTCCCATAGACAGCAGTGATAAATCCCCATACTTCACAAATATTTAAAAAAAATATGAGACTGGACCTCTGGGCCGGGCTCAGGGCTTCCAATTTTGAGCAAGTTGGATGCAATCGGGTCCGAAAGTGGCACTATTTGAGCCAATTTGCAGAGGAAGGCATTTTCAAAATGGCTACTTTCCTGGGCAGTGAAATTTCCTTCGTTTTGGGGGGGGGTCTGCTTTGGGCGAGAATTTCTCAAAAATTCGTTTGTCAACCCATTAAAAATGGAAAGGAAAATGAAAGAGGACGTGTGGAACATCATTTTTCTGTGCAGCCTGAACACCTGTGAGAGTTGTGAGTATTTTTAAAATATTTGTGCAACCTTGATTCCTCGGGTAGTCAGAATCATCGGGTCTGGTATCCAGAGTAACTGGTGACGTATTATATTTGGCACACGGACAAAAAAGGCATCAAATGAGGGCGCCCTATAAGGATTATGCGAGCTGCATGCTGGGCAAGCTGACTGCAGTGGTCAGTGGCTCGACGACCGTGTGGTGCGTACCGGCTGAAGGGATGTTTAACTAGGGAACAGCAACGTAAATCCGACTTGATTCATGTCTTGGTCCACCGTGAAAAACAGTAAAACCAGTCTCGGGCCAAGACAAGCATGGAGAACAAACCTACTGAATGGCCGACTTGCACCATGTCAAGGGGCCGGGGCAGTGCGCTGATCCGACGGAATGTTAAGCATGTTT